CATCTATATTGGTGAGGAGATTGTTCTTTTGTTTTTGTCTTCTGTTATGAATTTATAATGTATCTGTAGTTCCCAGTTGGCCGTATCTCGTATCCTGGATTTTGCTTTGTTTTATATCTCTAATTTATATAAATATCATGTTCAACTTAATTATTAATAAAATTAATTATATTAATAGACCTTTCTTAATTTTATACTTACCTTGAATATATTTTTAATATTTTCTTAAACGGTACATGCAGTTGTTTTGAGAAGTTGAAGGATTTGAAGTTGAAAGCAAGAAAACAAGAGGTATTTTCTTTCAAAGGTTTATATATATTGTCTATTTAACTTGGAGCATGGTATTGGTGAGCAGTTTTAAAAAAAAAATATTGACGTATGTTGTTGTCTAGTTTTTTCTGTTTACTGTTTACACATGCACATACATTATTCTCTTTGCTGTCAAAGTTGTACTTATTGGCTAGTAATTCCTCTTATGCTTGATAGTAGTTTAAGTATCTTAGTGCTTGTTGCTAGTTTACTTTTACTAAAAATATCTGCACGAAATATTTTATTTTAGTCATTTGTTTCCCTTTGAATATGTGATGATTATATGTTGAGTGTTTTCTTTATTGGTTCAATTTTGCCTATATTTTTTGAATTTTGAGTTTTGTTTGAAATTTATATTATTTTCAAATCATTACGTGACATATTTGAGGATTTAGGTCATAAAAATGGACAAATCATGGATTGATATGCCGCGAAATTCAGTTGAATATCTACACGGGTTAGATAAGTTCCTAGATTTTGCATTTGAGAAACGGTCTATCAATGGCGCAATCAAGTGTCCATGCCCTAAATGCGGTTTTAATAAATGGGAAACAAAAGGTACTGTGCGTGATCACTTGATTTGCAAGCAATTTCCAAAAAATTACAAAGTTTGGATATGGCATGGTGAAACATATGAAACAGTGATGTTAAGTGACACTCAAGTAATAGAAGAGCCATTACAAAATGAAAACCCAGTACTAGACATGATAAATGAAGCATTTGGGGTCAACAAACAACATGCATCACAACCCACCACTTCACCTGAATCGATGGTGTCCGCACATAACATGCCTGATGAAGAACGCAAAGATGTTACTGACTTGATTAGAGATGGTAGCCAAGAATTGTATGAAGGGTGTCAGAAGTATTCAAAATTATCTTTTTTGTTAAGATTGTACCACATAAAGTGCCTATGTGGTGTAACTGACAAGGCAATGACATTAATATTGGAATTGCTAAAAGATGCATTTGAATATGCAAAAATTCCTGATTCATTCTATGAGGCAAAAAAGATCATCTACAAACTTGGTCTTAATTATAACAAGATAGATGCTTGTCCAAAAAATTGCATGTTGTTTTGGGGTGAAGATGAAAAATCGGAGATATGCAAACATTGTAAAACTTCTAGATGGAAGTCAAAGGGTAAGGAAAAAGGAGATAAACCGACTATTGGTAGAAAAAAGCTGCCGGCAAAGGTTTTGCGTTACTTTCCATTGAAACCAAGGTTGCAAAGGTTATTTATGTGTTCTAAAACAGCAAAGTCCATGAGATGGCATGCTTTGGCGAATAACCCAGATGGATTATTGAGGCATCCAAGAGATGCAGAAGCCTGGAAGAGTTTTGACCAACTTCACCCTGAATTTGCTTCGGAATCGCGAAATGTCCGCCTTGGTCTAGCCACTGATGGTTTTAATCCTTATGGAATCAAGAGTAACAACTATAGCATATGGCCAGTGATCTTAATTCCATATAATCGTCCTCCTTGGGAGTGCATGAAGCAAACTTCCTTAATTCTTTCTATGATCATTCCGGGTAAACGAATGCCGGGGAATAATATAGATGTGTACTTACAACCTCTAACCAAGGAGTTGAATGAGCTATGGAATGAAGGTGTGGAAACCTATGATTCTTCTATGAATGAAGTGTTTAGAATGAAAGCAGCTCTTATATGGACAATTAGTGACTTTCCTGGGCTTGGTATTTTATCAGGGTGGAACACTTACACTAAATTTGCTTGCCCAACTTGTAATATTGATGCAACCTCATGTCGATTAAAATATAGCAAAAAATGGTGTTTTATGGGTCATCGACGATTTTTAGAGAGGGGTCATAAATTTAGATTGATGAAGAAGCACTTTGATGGTACAATTGAAGAAAGGGATCCGCCTATAATGTTGTCTGGATCAGAGATTCTGAAGCAACTTGATGATATCAATGTAACCTTTGGAAGCAACCTTGAGTCAAATAGTAGAAGGAAACGAGGTCGTTCAGAAGATAGACCAAAACAATGGAGAAAGAAGAGCATATTCTTTGATCTTCCTTATTGGAAGGGTAATCTTTTACGCCATAATCTAGATGTAATGCATATTGAGAAGAATGTGTGTGATAATGTGTTATATACCTTAATCAAAGATGACAAATCAAAGGATCATCATGAAGCTCGCCAAGATCTAAAACATATGGGAATAAAACAAGATCTTTGGCCACTTGAAGATGGAAAATTTCTTCCTTTATTATTTACAATGACAAGAGAGCAAAGAAAGATATTTCTCACAACGTTGAAGAATGTAAAGATGCCAGATGGTTACTCAAGTAATATATCTCGTTGCATTGATGACAAAAATGGTAAGATATTTGGTTTGAAGAGTCATGATTGTCATATTATCATACAACATTTGCTTCCAATAGCTATACGCTATGTTTTGCCTGATGCGGTGACTGCGGTGTTGGTAGAGTTATCTGCATTTTTCAAAGAATTATGTTTTAAAAGATTGAATGTCTCGGACCTTGATAAGTTGCAACATCGAATTGTGCTCACTCTTTGCCATTTGGAAATCCTCTTACCCCCATCGTTCTTCACGGTGATGGTCCATTTAACTTGTCATCTTGTTCAAGAAGTAAAATTAGGAGGCCCAGTATATTACCGCTGGATGTATCCAATTGAGAGGTACAAACTTTTTGCTGTATTTAACTCATATATTATTTTTGTGTGGTAAAAACATATTAAGTGAATGCCTTGATTATATTATTGTTTTTTTATCATAGGGTATTAGGGCATTTTAAGTCCTTTGTACGGAATAGGGCACAACCAGAAGGTTCTATAAGTGAAGCTTATTTAGCCGAAGAGACGCTGAATATGTATTCACAATATGAAGAAGTTGAGTCAAGGATAAATAGAGGTCGACGTGTTGATGATCGTCCAAATGATAATGAAATATCTCGAATGTCCTCTATCTATCCTCAATTGGGTAGACCGGTGGGAAGTTCATCAGCTTTCACTCTTACTCCATTAGAGAAAATACAAGCACATCGATATTTGTTGCTGAATTGTTCAGAAATCCTTCCGTATGTTGAGTAAGTGTTTTAACATGTTTCATGTGGTAAGAGTACGAATATTGCCATGCAATATTAACATGAATATTTTTTTGAAGTGAATTTAGAACCTTCATTAAGAGGAGGGCAAAAAGGCGAAGACCTTCGACTACAGAGATTGAAAGGATAGTTACTAAAGAATTTGCAAATTGGTTTCCTCAACGGGTAAAATAAATTCTTTTTTAAAAAAAAAAAAAAAATTAAACATATTTTTATGACTAAAATAATTTTACTTTAATTTAGGTTATGAATCCCGACATTATAAATTCAGTGTCAGATCAATTAAAGTTTTTGGCAAGGGGTCCATTGCTGCAAGCACGAAGATATACTGCTTATAACATCAACGGGTTCAAGTTTAGGACTTTAGATAGGGATAAGGGTTTGAAAACTCAAAATAGTGGAGTTTTTCTAACTTCAAACACATCATGTGTTGCAAGTAATGCTGATGCAAATTTGAGGAGGGCAGATTTGCCATACTATGGAAAGTTGGAAGATATAATTGAGCTCAACTATTACGGATTTTTCAAAGTTACCCTATTTAAGTGTAAATGGGCAGATACCACACGAGATAGAGGAATTAGAAAGGATGCTTGGCAATTTACTTCAGTGAACTTTTCCCAATGCATTCACACTGGTGAACGTGAAGAGCATGACCCCTATATTGAAGCTTCACAAGCACAATTAGTGTATTACGTGGATGATGAGGTAAATAAAGGTTGGAGTGTTGTTGTGCACATGATGCCAAGGGATTTATATGATATGGGAGAAGTTACAGAAGATGTCATATGTGAGACTGAGCCATACCAAGAGCAAGACTTAAGCAATTTATTTTCAAATGAAGCTGGCAGCATAACATTGGCTAGGGAGGATGTAGATAATGAATTCATAACTATATGTAATACTGAAAGTCAACTTCATGGAGAAGAAAATATGTCTCAGTAATGCAATATGCTTCAATTCTCATTGACTAAGTGTGTGAAAGATCTTAGAGTTTTGAATGAATGAGACTTTGAAAAACTGTGGTTTTAGGTTTCTTTTTCTCTTTTGTTATTAGGTTAATCGGCTTTCATGTTATACAGGACTAACATTAGAACTTTATTATTGTTAATCTCGAATATGCTGTTTATTCTTGTAGTCTTGTTGGCCTTTCATTTGGATCATTTGTATTTCAGTTATGTTGCCTTTTTGTGTGGTAAAAAAATATTACCTAGTCGTTGTTTAATCTCCTGTCTTATAGCTTTCATACAATAGATTTGGAAGCCTTGCTGCATTTTTTTGATTTTTCGTGTTCCTTCCAACTAGAATTTTCTATTTTACCCCTTCCTAGCTGTACCTTCTTTTTGTGCTTCCAAGTAACATTTTTCATATGCAGATACTATGGGAAGGTGGCCAAGTTTTTTGTTTAGTTCCCAACAGCCATATTCATGGCCTTGTCTTAATTATACATATTGGAAAATAAAATTAATTATGTATATTATTGTTACTTCTATATTTTTTTATTGTTTAGTATTGACTGATATATATATTTTTTTTGGGTAAAGAATCTATTTCAGTTTCAAGCTCCAGAAGCAATTGCAAAGCGTTATTGTCTACTTACCATGGGAAGAAGGTTCAAGAATCGCAAGTTAAAATTATGGTATAAAAATTATGACCCACTAGATTCTAGAGAAAAACTAATTTCTAATGTCCCCACTGGTGTTCCGAAAGATCAATGGTCGTCATTTGTGGACTATCATTTGAAACCAAGTTATAAGGTAATTTTATTTGATATTGGTTGCTTGTAATTGTTTTTTAAAGTTGGCAATCTTTATTAATATCCTGTTATTATCATAGGAGTTATGCCGGAAGAATGCTTTGGTTAGGAAAAAACAAACAATTCCACACACCGGGGGATCCAAACTGTTGTCTCGGAGAAGACATGAGATGGTAAGTTACTTGTGTTGTGTCTTGTTAGGTCTTATGTAATTCACATTGCATCTTATAAGAGTAAATATTTTATAGGAGGAAGAGATCGGACATGCTGTAGGTCGAGGTGAACTTTATATTGCAACGCATAAGAGAAAAGATGGGTCATATGTTAATGAAGAGGCAAGGACTACAGTGGTAAGTCATACTAATATTTTCTGCTTTTAGACTATAATAATGCATCAATCGATGTCTTTGCCTTCTTTATTATTATAATTTAGCTAATCCTAGTTGTGTATTATTTACAAAGTTATCATTATTATTTGTCCCTAGCTCCATACATGTATTTATTTCTCCTATCTTGTAATTCCTTATTAAATTGTTGATGGAGTTCAAGTATAAGTAATTGCTTCATTTAGAAAAATGAAGAAGTCACTCGAGATCATTCATTTCTTGTTGCTGCACTGAAGGAATCTTCACTGCTTGTACGATTCAAATCCTAAATAAGTGTCAGTAGAAATTTAGGGGAATATCGCATATTGCCCCAATTTCCATTCTTCAATGTTCTTGTTGGTCAAGTACTTGAATGTTTGATGACATGGCCACAGTAATTGGTGCTTCCAGCAAGACTATGACCACACTGTTTCTTAATTATTTTTCTATCATATTAGATTCATGAATTTTTCTTACATGTACAGGAGAAAATTCATGAAGAATTAAGTCAGAGCACTAATTTTACTGAAATTTCAAGAAATGATGCGGTTGCGAAAGTGTTGGGACCAGAGCACTCTGGTCGTGTTCGTGGTTTAGGCCTAGGTGGTCTTCCTAGTATTGCATTTGGACCCACCATAGGACGATTTAATCATTTAGGCTCTATTTTCTTAAGTATGAATCAAGCTGAAAATTCTCAATTGAGAAGTGAAGTTACTACTTTGAAGACCAAGCTAGTAGCTTCTGAGCAGAATGTCAAGACATTGCAAACAATAATGCTTGCGTACATACAAATGAAGGAAGGACAAATTCCTCCGGAGTTGGATGCTTTGTTGGGTATTGCTTCCATTCCAATGGTAATGATTTCATATGCTTATTTTTAATATTGAACTTAGTTACTACTTCTTAAGAGAAAGTAAGTGTCTTATTCTTTTAAGTATGCTAAAATGGTGCAATGTCTTTCGCAGGATGAAGGGAGTGAAGAAGGTATCCCAACACCACACGGAAGCTCTTCATTAGATAGTAATCTCTCTTAACTTGGGTTTTGTAATTAGGGTTAATTTCAAAATGAGTGATGGATATACATCAGTTGAGACTATTATGAATTGTGGGATTTTAAGACAGATTTATTTTACTTGATGGAATTGTTATTTCAGATGATAAAGCTCTGGCTGAGTTACTGTAGTTTCACACCCTTAGACAGGGGTGTTTGTTATCTCATCTCAAAACAATCTACCTTTTGCATGGTGCCAATATAAAATTCAGCTCCTGGTTCACAATTGGAGGAAAAAAGAAAATAACAATTGTTTGTTATCTCATCACAATTGTTATTTGTGTTTGTTATTAGTAATGTTTATATGAAAATATACTTTCCCATGTTTTATTTTATACAAAAAATTCGATGAGATTTTTTTATTCATCTTTGTTTTAGTTTTTTATTTCATAGAAGAAAAAAAAGAAAAAAATGTGTTATCAGTAAAAGTATATTATTTTTCTATTTGAAATGTGTTAATGCTGATACTTATTGGGATCAGTTTCATATCTACTTTTTAACTTGTGGGTTTGGTCAAATGTAAGGTCCAAAGACAATGACAACTGAAACATGAATTGTATCGATTAGTAATTTCAACATATAGTTTTTGGAGGCTAAAAAACGTCACTATATACATCAGTTTGTAGCGTTTTTCAATGGCCAGAAAATGAAGCCATTTGTGGCTGTCATAAATGGCCAAAAATGGGAAGCACATTGTGACATATGTTATACTGGCGTTTTAGGGGAACGTCAGAAAAATCTTTGGTGGAGGTTTTTGACTGCTACAATTAGCATATTTGACCTCCACTAAATGCATCAATTTTTGTAGTGTTTGCTTTCTTACTATAGTGCGTGGGTACAAGAATTAGTATTTGATACCATACAGTACGCATATGTGATACATTTTTAAAAAAAATGGACACGAATATGCAATGCATATTATATTAAATAAAATATTTATATTTATACATGTATAATATTATTTGGTTCTCAATATTTCATATGATCATTCATCAATGGTGTTGGATTCGTAATTTTGTTCTTGTTTTTGTGAATGTGCTACTTAGTAAACCCAACGTTCTCTGTTTGCCTACTTCAATGGTGTTGAATTTGCTACGATCTCATATTAACAGGAGATGGATCAGATTATATCTAAAGAAAAATCTACGGATAAATAGCATACAGGTTCACATTAAAAATATACGATATATTTATCTCAGGTCAATGTATAGCTCAAATAAGAGATTGTTAGGAAATTATATTTCTTAATATGTTTGTGGGCTACATATTGTATAAATAATTATATTATGCTATTTAATATATATTGGTTAAATTAAAGTGATCAAATAAAGATACTCAAATAGATTCTTAAGTAAGTGTGGGACAAATGAGTGGATACCAGTATTGAACCAATTAGGTATAATGGGAGCTTACTAGCTCAACAATAAAGGAAAATACTATAAAAGGTTATGGTCCTCAATATATTAAATAATAACAATCCTAGTTTCTTTTTTCCATCAAGAAAGAGATGACACACTAAAGAATAAGGATTAAGGTTATTTGACTGAAGAAGATCACATACCTTAAAGGTGAAGATCGAAGTTATTCCGCTGCTATAGGAATAGATATACCTCCATATTTCTGTTAATATTCTTTTACGATTTGATATAATAAATCCTGATTTATTGATGATGATTATCATCATAAGATTACGGAATTATTATTGAAACAGTATTGACCTCTGCCATATCAAATGTGGGTGCATGTTTTATTTTTGTATCTTGGGAAGACCGTATGCTGACATCGGTGCATGAGTTTTGTCTTGTATTTGTTACTGTTTTCATAAAATGATTTAGAATCAATTAGTGTTTAATATTTTTCTTGATGTTATCGGAAACATCAAACGCTAAAGAGTAAAGACATCACTAAAATAATAAAGTTAAATGATATCACATATCCCTCTCGATGAAGCACGCTTGCGGATGTGGCTGAGTTATTTACTAGGAAATATGTATAGGTGGTGCACCATCCATTTCTTGGTTCTAATGAAAGTAACATTGAAATATTTTAATGATTGGCATTAGCAAGCATTCTTTTTTTTTGTCTGCACCTTACGAAACAACTTTGCCACTTGGTCTTATTATAATATTTTAATAATGTACATTATCATCATTTTATTATACTAATGATGACTCCAAAGTTCAAACCTATCAGAATTTATCAATATTTTGAAATAAAAATTATCATATTAAAACAATCATAAAGGATAATTTAATTGTGAAAACTTGTTAATCCCCTTCGATTTTAAATCATTCAGTAATAATAAATAAACAAACAAATAATCATAGTTTTTTTATTTAAAATTAGAGTAAACACTCTTTTTGGTCCTTGGCAATATCTACGAAATCCTTTTTAGTCCCTGACAATAAAAAAGGACCAAATTGATCCCTAAAATTATGAAAAAAAGGCCACATTAGTCCTTATGTCAACTCCTCCATCACTAACGTGGCCCTTTTTGTATACTGTTAGGGACCAATTTGGTCCTTTTTTATTGCCAGGGACTAAAAAGGATTTCGTAGATATTACCAGGGACCAAAAATGGTGTTTACTCTTAAAATTATTGATTTTGGGTTAATTTAAAAAATAAAGAATAAAGAATAGTTTGCTATTAATTAATTGTAATGGGAGTCAGTTAAGCTCGGACGACTTGTTAACCCTATTTTTTTGACTCATTTTAGCAGTGATGGCTTAATGATTCAAAATTTATTTAAATTAATCTTAAAATTTACAATAATAAAAATAATTACATAAAATTTATTTTAAAAGGGATTAGCTGACTTGAGACAACTTGTTAATTCTACAATTATCATTTTGGATTATTTTAGCTGCGACAGCGTGATAGTCCAAAACTATCAAATCCAAAGCTTTCAAATGATTTTCTTTAAAATTATCTTCAAAAATTAAAATCAATCAACAAACAAATATTTCTTACAGAACAACGTAGCTTTGAGTTTCCTATTACATCGAGGGATACGTCGGAGCGGGGCCCATCCCGTCAAGCATAAAAATAAATTTTCAAAAATTAGTTTTCTTTTCTTTTATCAATTTAGTTCAATTCTCTGGGGTAAAATAAATATTTAAAATTTTATCAATAATTTTCACAATTAATATCAGGTAACCATTTTTTAAAACAGATGGTATAGGGTATTAATATATTTTCTACTTGTAATTGACTCCCGAATCCATTTCTATTTTTTTAAAGATCAATTTTCAAACAAATAGAATTTTTCTAATATTTTTTTAAATAAACCTTCATAGTTACCCATTATTTTTAAACTTTAATCTCTTTTGCCATGACATCACGATCCAGTTGCTACATGTGAGAATGAAATTTCAATCTATAAATCTTAAATTTTTAGCAGAATTTTGAGACGGTTGATATAAAAAACAAAACAAAAAGATAATCACAAATCCCACGCGTCAAATCAAAGCACCCCAGAACTCATATTCACACAATTAGGTGTCTTCAATTTTATTGAGTTCTGATTTTTTTATTTTTTTGAGATTGTTTGGTACAATAATTATTAAATTATGTGTTTTTTTTTATAAAATAACTTAAAAATCAAAACATAAAATAAAAATAACTCAGATATGCTCTCTAAATTTAATTTCAAAAAAATTAATTTTTAAAATTACTTTTATGAAACAAACCTTATCAAATGAATTTTTTTCTAAAAATAAACAATTATTTTGAAAAACTGTATTCCTTAACCACTCGTTTTTCGTTACACTCAATATTCACATGGTAGTCTCTAATCCACACCATGCGTTTGGATATTGTCAATATGTATTTGAAATTTTGAATGCAACTTAATTTTTTTTTAAAGTATGTTAAGGTAGATATTTGGTTATATAAAGTATGAGTACCACCAGTGGTTGAAAAGATGAGAGAACATAGATTGAGGTGATTTGGGCATGTAATGAGAAGGACCTTCGATGCTCCCGTAAGAGCAAAAATTTGTTACCAAAAGCTCGACACAAAGAAAGGTAGAGGTAGACCGAAACTTACTTTGGAGAAGGTAGTAAAACAAGACTTAATGAAATGAAATATAGATTTGCTGACGGTATGCGTTAGGACAGAATAGAGAAAAGCTATTAGATGGCGGAGGGTTAGAACCGTGGATTTGGATTCTCTCATGTGTAAAAGTGGTCATGTGATCATGTTATTTGATCACAATCATTTATTTAAAAATTATATATCTTTCTCTCTCTTATGTCATCATCAATAGATGGTTGTGATCAAATAACATGACCACATGACCATTTTTCCACATGAGAAGATTCTTATATTCTATATGATCTTTTTTTAGTCTTTTATCTCTTCATCCTCGTCTTCTTTTTCCCTTCCCCGTCTTTTTTCTTTTTATTTATTTTATTATTTTATTTATTTACTTATTTTGCACCTTTTTATTTTTACTTTTTTTATATTTTTATTATTTTATTTATTTTTATTTTTATTTTTATCCTTTCGTATCTTTCATTTTGCTTCACCTCTAACCAACCCCAATTACTTCGGGATAAAAGTATTGTTGATGTTAATGGAGGATTCTATAGTTTATCAATTACTGATGCATACGATTTGAGCATTATTGGATCCGAGATGACTTTTTTAATTATGAATCTCGAGTTCGAGTCTTGAAAATAAAGAAAATGTTCTTAAAAAAGCCAGATGATCTTATATGAGACAATCTAGATATCAAGAAACAAACTAAAATGACGAGAGATAGAGAGCGAGAAAAATACTAGTACACAAATTCAGAAATAATAATGGTTGATTTGTATATAAATATAAGAGAATATTATATTTATAATCTTTTTATTTATAAATTCTTATAAATTGCACTATATCTTACCGGTAATATATTTTTAAGAGAAATTTTACTGGTAAGACATAATATAATTTGTAAATTTATAAAAATAAAAATAAAAAAATTTGTCTATATAACCCTCCTTTAATCATATAAACCAATGAGATTATAGTTCCTTAAATTACAAGATTAGAAATGATATTGATATACAAAAAAAAAAAAAAAAAAAAAAATGCTATTATCCATTCTAATTTTCCTCGCAACCATTCGCCACACGTTTCAGATTCCTTACAATATCCCCCGCAGGCACCTCAAATTACCGCACCAGCCATGCAAAAAATCAGGCAAGGGCTATAAAGTGCAGACAACTAGACAAGTAGTACATATCTTCCTCATCATATAGTTGGTCATAAACAACAATGATGTCACTACTTCTACTTCTTCTCTGCCTAACTCTTCCTCTGCTTCTATTGTTCTTCTTCCACAAACATAGAACCATTAACAATCCACCCCTTCCACCTGGTCCTAGAGGCCTTCCCATAATTGGGAATCTTCATCAACTAGACAATTCTGTTCTTTATCTTCAACTATGGAAACTCTCAAAAATATATGGTCCCTTATTTTCCCTTCAACTCGGTTTAAGGCCAGCTATTGTTGTTTCATCACCTAAAATTGCCAGAGAGGTACTCAAAGACAATGACCTTGTGTTTTCTGATCGACCTAACTTACTTGGCCAACAGAAATTGTTCTATAATGGGTTAGAGATTGTGTTTTCTCCATACAATGATTCTTGGAGAGAAATAAGAAAAATTTGTGTTGTCCATATCTTTAGCTCAAAGCGTGTGTCATGTTTTTCCTCTATAAGAGAGTTTGAAGTCAAGCAAATGATCAAAAAGATATCAGGGCATGCTTCTTCTTCTGTTGTTACAAACTTGAGTGAGTTATTCATTTCTCTTTCAAGCACTATAATATGTAGGATTGCTTTTGGGAGAAGGTATGTGGATGAAGGAGCTGAAACAAAAAGGTTCCATAAGATGTTCAATGAGCTTCAAGCTATGGTAACCGCATTCTTTGTTTCAGATTATATTCCATTTTTGGGTTGGGTTGATAAAGTTACAGGTCTAAATACACGTCTGGAACGAATTTTCAATGAGTTTGATAAATTCTACCAAGTGGTTATTGATGAACACTTGGATCCGAATAGACAGCAGGTGGAGGAACAGGATATAGTGGATGTTTTACTTCAACTGAGGAAACGGCGTTCCTTTTCAATTGATATCACTTATGATCACATCAAAGGGGTCCTTACGGTATGTGTCTAAATTCAAATTGTTTTTTCTTTCCTTTAATTATTATATAGATGAAAGAACTTTTCTCATTTTTTTGTCAAATTACTCTCACAACTAATTTTAAAATAAAATTATTTATTAATGATTTGAAAAAATAAGATATGTATTACATTATGAATGAAAAATACACTGAAAATTTAGTGTACCCATATCACTGAAGAAATTTTCCTAGTAATCAATTATTATATGGAAAATTATTGTCTTATGTTGCTGCAAAAAATTTTATCTTATATTACCTATTATAATTATGTACTCCGGGAAGTACATAATTATAATATTAAAATTATTTTTTTTCTTTCCTCACCATTGTCTGCTAAGGTGAAAAGAGAGAGAAAAATAATTTTAATAATATAATTATGTACTCCTCAAAATATATAGTTATAATGGGTAATATTAGATAAATATTTTTGCAATACCATAAGAAAAAAGGACCCTTATTACATAGATGTTAATTATTAAAACACTAGAACAATCATTCTTCTTAAGTATTTAGTGGGTTAAGTAGAGCAATACTAATTGAGGAGTAGACAAATCCAATTAAAACTCGTTACTATTGTGTTGCCAAGAGGTCTCGGGGAATTTATGGCTTGGGATCACCACCAATAGATTAACGTACACCATTCACATTAAGTGTATCTGACATCATATTTTAACCCAAAACCTTAAGGCATTGGATCCTCTCATTTATAGATATTTCACTTAGTCTATTATCAAAATTAATGTGGAACTTCATTACATTTGCATATTCCAATAACCTCCCCCCTCAAGTGTGAAAACCACATTGATTATGCTCCCCCTCAACAAAAGTTTCTCCCAGTACCCCAAGCTCTAGTACTCAATCCACCTATAACCAATCACCAAGCTAGACCGAGCCGAACTCGGACTCTAATACCTTTGTCAGGCGGGTCCAGGGAAGCTCATGATAGGGGATCTCCATCAATGGGCTAAGCTACACCAACCGTAACAAGTGAGTTCGACATCATGCCTCAATCCAAAACTTTAAGGTATTAGATTTATGGATCCTCCCATTTGGTCTCCACTTAGTTTTTCACCAACCAATATAAGATTTCATCACACTTGAATATCCTAATATAATGTGCATCAATTCCACTATATTTTAGTAGCTTGGGAAAGACTTCAACTTTGGTTGTTACCTATTCTATTTTTATTTTATTTTATTTTATTTCTTGTTTTCAAGTATATGTAAATAGTTAAAGCACTTATTCTTACCATTTGTTTTGCAAAATATTAAAAATAAGAAACAAAAATTAGAATAAAGTGATATTTTTATAATTATTTAATTAATAATAAAAACATGTCAACAGAAAATGAAAATGAAGATAAAACCAAACGCATTTTGTTATTCTTACAAACTAATTTTTGCAATTGAGCTTTCGTTTTTTTTTTTCTTTTGGAGATACAAGAAAGCTTTCTATTGGTATACACCAATGCAAATTCTATAATGTGTTGCAGCTGATATTGTTACCTTAAAATGGCCCATAACGGGTGATTTTCTTTATATACAGGACCTACTTATAGCAGCAACGGATACCACTGCAGCCACATCAGTTTGGGCTATGACGACCCTCATAAAAAACCCAAGAGTAATGAAGAAAGTTCAAGAAGAAATTTGGAACTTGGGAGGTAAAAAAGATTTCTTGGATGAAGATGATATTCAAAAGTTTTCCTATTTGAAGGCGGTGATAAAAGAGATATTGAGATTGTACGTAACAACCCCATTACTTGTGCCAAGAGAATCAAATAAAAATTGCATTATAGATGGCTATCAAATTCCAGCCAAGACAATAGTGTATGTGAATGCTTGGGCTATTCATAGAGACCCAGAGGCTTGGAAGGACCCAGAAGAGTTTTATCCTGAGAGATTCTTAGACAGTGCTATAGATTTTAGGGGACAAGATTTTGAACTAATTCCTTTTGGAGCAGGTCGTAGAATTTGCCCAGGTTTGCATATGGGGGTTGCCACATTGGAACTTATCCTAGCTAATCTTCTTAATTCCTTTGATTGGGAATTGCCAAAAGGATTGGTAAAGGAAGACATAGATACTGAAGTGTTGCCAGGAATTACTCAACACAAGAAAAATCCTCTCTGCCTTTCTGCCAAGCGCCATATGTAATTGCCTGAGGGACTTTTAGTGAAAATAATTAGTGTTTGTTCTCATTTATTTCGCTATATCTATTTGGTTTTTACTGTGTTGTTCTTTGCGTGTGATACTAAAATACAATTTCCTTTTCTTACCGATGTTTTCCTACAAGATTTCATATATATGCTTAACTCAAAAAATTATTCATGATCACTTGAATCACCTGTTATATTTAGAATTACTTCTTATAACAAAAGCTTACTGCATGACTATGCATCTGAATGACTTTGGACTTGAATAATTGATAAACCTTTAGTTTATCTTGTTTTATAGACTAAAATAATATGAATTATCTAGTTGAACAAGTCAAAAACTAGGGTTTTAATAGGATATCATGAACATTATCTGATTATTACTTAATTAAATAATATTTGCTATTTTTAAGGGATTTGATGACAAATGGAGTCAAATATGAAGATATGGATAAAGGGAGATCAAATCAGAAGATATGAGGATCTATCCAAGAAGATCAAGATCATCAAGTTGTTGAAGAGGAAGCTTAAGCCCCCATAAATATCCCAAAATCTGCAAAGGCCACTGCCTCTGGGCGCTTAAGCCCCCAACTCAGGGCCTAAGCGCGGGCCAAGAAGAAAACTTCAACTCGAGGAGCGCGCTTAAGCGCACAACGCAAACTCTGCAATTACCGTTCTAGGGGGCTTAAGTGCGATGAAGCAAGCTTAAGCGCCCCAGAAACCCAACTTAGGCCCAATTCGAAGTATCCATCTAGGGCACAAACTCTTGGCTTACAAAAACACATTTGGGGCCAGAATTAAGGAGTTTTTCATATTCTAAGAGAATTTTAGGTACTCAGAGGTAGAGGGAAGGCGGAAGATTCATCGGTTCATGTTCGTGAGCGGCGGAGACGGATCAACATCAAGTCTGGACTGGGGATATTAAAGATTTACCAATCACCTATGGAGTTTGGGGAAGCTTTTATATTGTCTTTCATTCTTGATATTGTTATGTCTGGCTAGTTCTTTAGGTAGTTAGGGTTAGATGAAATTTAATCGATGTATTATGCTTTGAACAATTCGCTATGTTAATTTTCCTTTATATCATGAATGAAATTATCTGTTTTTAATGCTTTATATAGGCTTGAATCTTATATAATGATCGTAGGTAAATGCATGACAATAGGAATGTTGGTGTGTGATCCTTATCTGATAATTTCATCGTACGCTTTATGATTCTAGGGATAGACATAGAGTTTGCGTAATCTTTAAGATTCTTGAACTTAATGCTTCCATTCTTGGGGAATAACTGGGGAACTAGGGTTCTTTCAAGATTGTAAAGGTTTTAGGGTAACAAGAGATTGAGCTTTAATAACATGCGAAAGAATTTATTAGACTGATACTAAGGACAATTAACGTAAAGAAGGAATTCAACGTAATAAAGAGATTGAAGGAAATCGAAACCCTAGCTACTTTTTTATTTTTATCAGTTTATTCAAATCTTTACTTTCTTGTCTTTAATTCTTACGAGTAATTAGTTTAATAGTTAATATTTTAATTTTTCAATTCAAATCCTGTTTCCAAATACAATTTCGATAGTCCAACTAAATTTGCGATAGTGAATTAGTGCTTGAGTATAATCCTCGTGGGAACGATATCTTATTCAATCATTATATTACTTGTACGATCGGTGCACTTGCTGTGAGTAGCAACAAGAATGAACCTAATTATTATTAAATTTTACAATTGACACATATTTATAATTTTAAATTTTTTTAAATAATGGTTACCTTGCTAGGTATAACGTTTTCCGTAAATTTGAGTTTATATTTGTCATGACTCAATTTTTGGTTCATGATCTGCACAGGCTAAATTAAATCTTACTACCAATTAATTTGGCAAACCTAATTTTTTTAATCAAAAATACAACTAGATTTATTAAATTTGCAATTAAACTTCTAAGTAATTGAAATATAAACCTTGTCAGCACAAGTGATGTGTTGGCTCATCCATGATAACCAAACAGAAAATATCACGATCAAATCAAGTGAGTGGAATGAGAAGTTAAATCATTAACTTTACCTGCAGAAACATGTGATTACAATCTGCAATGCAACTCAATGAATAAATAATAGAAATTATAACAAACAAAATCTAATAACATATAAAATTAAAGTTTAGATCAAACAATAATTATGAGAAACCCTAAATTTTCCAAATCAATTTATATATGTGACCAAAATTAGTTTTTCATAAAAATAATACGCTGAAGAAATCAAATGGTAAAACTGTGGTTGGGGTATGGTAAAATCTTTCAACTCAATGTTGTCAAGACCATTATGTGTATGGTTGACACTCTATTGAAGTTTGACACATGATATTACCATGAAGCTTAGTGTTGTTAGAATCATTGGGCTCATGGTCGACACCATATTTAAGTATATCATGGTTTTTGATAAACCATACAATTTCTCTGACTTTTAGGTATTTGAGAAAAATTATGAGAACTGACAAAGAAAATAGTAATTTTTCTATTGTTAGATCTTATTGCATATTATTTTCTTACTACACTCTATTCTACGGACAAGTTGACAGAGTCAAATGACATTGTGACCATGAAAGGTCATATACTAATAAAAGATGTAATCATTGTCTGATTCATTGTTGTTTGACTTTAGTTGTATGGAATCATATTTAGATATGGCACTTTGGATTACGTAATTGTTAAAATATGGTCATGTTACAAAAATTAATCCATAGCCTAAGAATCGATTTCAAATAACTTATTTTCTTTTTAAAATTAAAATCATACAATTGATTTTGTCTAATTAGAAGAACATTAGACCTTTTATGATTATTGTGGGTTACAAAAAATTATAGTTTTTTTTGTTTCAATAAAAGCAGGTTAAGTATTGGTTCATATATGGGGTGAAGTTTAAAATCCGATCAATTAAAAAACTCTTTTGTTTAGTCTTGTATATTTGTAACACTAATTAGTATGCATAATAGTTAGGCCTTAACTTATTGATTGATTAGGATCAAATACAAGTCTTTACAGTGGCTCGATAAGTTGAAAAATATTAAAAATTAATATTATAAGAATTTTATTTATATATTATAGTTTAATATTATTTGTAAAAAGAAACTAAATGATAGTTTAAATTTTAAAGAAAGGTAAAAGAAATAAAAAATTGTAATTCGAATAACAAATTACACAATTAATGTTGTTTACATATATTTGACGAAATAAATGCCACCATTTGCGGCCAAACATGTGCACAATTAGTTGTGCATCAATTCTATGTGCAACTGCCAAGTGGCATACTCTCGTGAGTTGTGCACCAACTGCAACTAGTTACAAGTTTGGATGCAACTCACGAAAGCTTGTCACTTGACATTATAGGTGGGCATGATTCAATCTGAATTGGTTTTTTTGTTAAATCAAACCTAATCTATAAGTTTAAATCGATTTTTGTTCCAAGAACAGGTCTATTTTTTTATCCAAATTAATTTTTTGTTTTTCAAATCGAATAATGGTTCAAAATCAATTTATGATTTATAGTTGGTTCCAAACCAGTTTACATATACAAATTAAAATGGTCATAATAAAACGAACAAGCATTTAGAGTAACTGCAGCTTTAAATTATATAATTATTCAACAAAGAACAATCAGATAAACTAAGATTCTCAACACCCTTAAATAAGCAACGAAAAGGTAAATAACAAAAATTATAAAATTATTTATATGAAAAAAAAAAACACAATAAAAAATGACTCTAAAACCCAAAAAACGATAGCTCTTGGTGCAAAGCATGGGCCTTGATTAGAAGAGCGATTCTAAGTGTCTCGTCAAATCTGAGCCTATTTTAAGATGGTCACTTTGGGGTTTTTTTTACCTTTTTGCCCCTCGTTAATTATTTAATAACTATTTTGTCCCTTATTGCAAACTATCTACCAGTTTGTCCCTCTTTAATCGACTAAATTGAATATTTAATCGATTAAATGGTCAAACAAAGATTTAATCGATTAAATGGTCAAATAAAGATTTAATCGATTAAATCTTCAACTTAATCGATTAAATCTTCCTCTTTATCAGAAGAACAACCTTATGCATGGGAGATTTAATCGATTAAATAGGGAGATTTAATCGACTAAATCTTCAAGTCAACGATTTTTGCCTATTTTTACCATTTAATCGATTAAATTTTTGGCTTAATCGATTAAATGGGGCAGATTGGTAGATAATTTTGAATGAGGGGCACAATGGTTATTAAATAATTAATGAGGGGCAAAAGGGTGAAATAGCCTCACTTTGGGTCATTATCAATCTGATCATTTTTCAATAATAAATCATATATTACTCGAGGGTGCTACGTGACAAGCTCTTTGAGTTGCGCCCAAACTTGTGCCCAACTAGTTGTGCCTCAGTCATGAGAGCATGTCACGTGACAATTGTACATGCAACTGATATGCAACCAATTGTGCACAGGTTTGAGCACAACTGGTTACATTAATTTTGTAAATCAATTAAAAAAGACATTAATTATGTAATATGTTATTTTTTTGCAAAAATTTTTTTGCCTTTAGAGAGAAATATACATTAGTACTTTTATCTTATATAATAATATTTTGCTTCAAATTAAATTTAACATTAGTTCATAATCGGCAAGTATAGGCTATAAAGACACTTGATCTCAACTTTTTTTCAATGTAGATTTCATATGCTTAAGTTATTACATTTATCACTTTTCTTTTTTTAACATTGATCCCTCGCAATTAGGAGTAGCCCTTCAGGCTCACACAACACGATACGAATTTTACATAGACATGAACACACTTAACACAAACATGACACAAATTTAAAAATGAGTTAAAACTTTCTACAAAGTTATGACCCACTTATTTTGCAGGTCAACACCACCAAACACGAATAGCCCACAACCTCAAAATAAGTCGCTTATTATGCGAGTTGACTTGATACAATACGACACAAATAACTGGACAACGTCAATGTGTGTCGGTTGTTATGCGGGTTAACGATAAGATACGGAGAAAATTGCATAAAGTCACCTTGTACATAGGTACTTTTTCAAATGAGCACCTTCTACTTTTAATTGGAATAATTAACCCCTTGCACTATAACATTTCTAATCTCAATCGCATGACAAGCTTTTTTGAGATGTGCCCAAACATGTGCTCAACTAGTTGAGCTTCAGTTGGTGCACAACTCATGAGAGTTTGCCACATGACAGTTGCACATGCAACTGATGCACAACCAATTGTGCACATTTGGGCATAAGTGGTTGCATTAATGTTGTAAAATATTTGAAAATGACATTAATTATGTAATTTTTTATTTAGTTTGTGATATTTAAATTTTTTGGTCTTTAAAGAGAAACGTACATTAGTATTATTATTTTATATAATAATATTTTGCTTCACGTTCAAATTAACATTGGTTCATACTCGTCAAGTATAAAGGTAATTGATCTCAATTTTTTTATTCAATGTAGATTTCATGTGCTTACGTTATTATATTTATCACTTTTCTTTTTCTAACATTGATCCCTCGCAATAAAGCTTGTCATTCGAGTTGACACATACAAATATACTTAACACAAACACAAAATAAATTCAAAAATGAGTTAAAACTTTATACACGAACATGACCCACTTATTTTGCAGGTTGAAGTGACTAAATACGAATAACCTGCAACCTAAAAATGTGCCACTTATTATACGAGTTGACACGATACAATGATAGGCCCAAGAGGAAGAGACTAACTGGAGCACCATCATGGGCCAGAGACTTCATCACATACAGTTAATGGGCTAGTGTCTTTTGTGAGCCCTTAAGAATAATATTCAATTAGTTAAATGTTGTATTTGAATTCTGTTAGCAGGAAACGTGGCTTAGTGAACAACGTGTCCCTGGCTTGGTTTGTTAGAAGGGTAACGTGGCTTAAGGTGTGAGTGTGTGAGTTAAGCCACTGATATATAGGAGTCTGTTATGCATTTTTGCATATTCATTCAGAAATATATGAAATACTTGCTTCTTGTTTTTTTCTCTGTTTTGCCTTGT